GTAGTGTACAACTAGTTTTTGCTAAAACAAATTTTTTTTATAAGACTGATACATTAATACATGTTTTAATCATAAACCACGATATTGGTTCATAATAGGGATTGCCCAGGAATTTCACAAAAAATGGGCAAAAACCATATTAAAAAGCAGACTTGTTCTTGAAACAACACTCAAGACCTTTTATATCAATGGCTAAGGCCGTTAAAATATTGAATAGCAAAAAAGTTGATTTTCTGATTATTAGACAAAATTTGCAATTCCTCCATTTGTTCTTCTTCTTATTATTATTCATATTATTCTTGTTTTATGAGCCTACAGAAAAAATAGCTATAAAGATTTTATCCAAACCTGGGCAAACCTACTAATAAAAACTCCTGTGCAGATGATAGGACTATTTTTATGTCGATTCTTGAAATAGAAGGAGAGATTTTATCAGTTTTTTCATCACTACTGGCCAAGTTTTTCTTTGAAGCCTACAGCACAATCAGCTAGTTATGCTGCACCAAATATATGCAAAGCTACTAAACAAACTCCTGCAAAGGTTGTAGGGCTATTTTTAAGTTTATTCTTGAAAGTTGAGATTTCCACCCTCTAAAGTTTTCTACATTCTTCTTCACTATGAACTTAAGCTCTTCGAAACCATTTAAGCACCGTTATACTAGTCAGAAATTCTTTGCTTTATTAGAGTGAACATTGTGTATATTTATAACAGTGTCTCTATCCTTGTTATTATTGATTATAGTTTTACAAGCTGCTACATTAAAAATGGCTTGGAATATTTTACTGAAACCTGGACATTAGTAATGAATGCAGTATTGAGTATGTCATAGGGTAGTTTTAAAATTAATTCAAGCACCTTCATTTTTTTGCCCTTGAAGAATTTCTCTAAGTTCTTCACTTTCTGCCACTGAAAAAATCTGTTGTTTTACTAATGTGCATAATTATTGTGCAATTTATAGTGCATTAATTGGAAATTGCCACATTGAGGAATAATCTTTTCTGGAGTTCGCTGTTGTACTTTACCTCTACGTGGTTTGTGTGACTATTTCAGTGAAGTTTGTAACAGTAGATGATTACCATAGTAGATTTCTCTACTCTTGTGAGTGGTGTATTATCCTACTGATTTTCATACTTTGCTGAAATTATGAGTACATATTTTATTATTCATATTTTTGTTTCACAAGCCTACAGCAAAATCAGCTAGGTATTTTGCATCAAAACCTAGATGGATATATTATATGAAATGCTACAAATGTCCATGACCTACTTAAAAGTTGATTATTTTTCATTGAAAGTTGATTTATATGGCTATAAATACACAATATATGTGATGTTGTTGTGAGCGGCTTCCTTTGTACTTGAGGCTAGTTAAGTGTGTGTCTACACAAAACCTCAGAAACCTGTAGAAAAACGTGTAACGTTCAACTGTATGTATATGCCTGTATGTAGCTTAAAATTTATTCTCCATATATGGACATAAAATTATAAGAACCGAGATAGTTAAAAATTTTTAATTTAAAAAGGGGAATAGGGATCGTCAATAAAGTACAGAAACAAGGGGAATTAAAATGCAAGGATTATCAAATTAGGGACTCTAAAACAAATAAACAAACTAGGCTAGAAATAGTGTCTACATTATTTTCACAAGCTACAAATCCCTATTTTGACTCCACTAAAACTGATAAGTACTGTAGACATGGAGTCAAAATGGGGACTTGTAGCTTGAGAAAATAATGTAGAAACTATTTCCAACTTAATTTGTTTGCTCTTTTTTTTAGAGTCCCTGATGATGCCTTTACTGGCAAAACCATGGTTATGAATAAATGAAGTTTTTGTGAAACCTACAATTGTTTTTTTTTTTCTCTTCAATTCTCTAAAAGTTTATATAAGTTTATTTTATCATAATAATCTTATAATATTAGAAAAAAAATCTGCTGTTACCCAAAGAAGGAATAATTGGTGCATATTCATTATCAAATTAATCAAACTAAACAATTTGATTATGCCAACTTAATCCTTAAGTTGTTTTTACACATGGATTATGAAGAGCTCATTGTTACCCTTTTTTTGTGAGTTATAAGACACTCACTGGAGTGCTGACAGTGTTCAGCAGTACTTTTGTTTTTAACTTTATGATTTGAATAGGTAATGTATCACTTTTCTTTACTTGTCGTTTATGACTGTGACATTTTGAAATATCTTAATCCAACTTGTTTCTTGTGGTGCATAGTTGTTTTGGTTGTATTTTATTTTGTGTCATGCATTAATTGTTAATTTTTGGAACACTTGAATATTTAATGTGAATTTGTATTAATTTTGCCTATTACAGTTGAACAGCATGTATAATGCTTAGTAATCTTATGCTCTCATGCTAAATTATGTCTTGGTTAATATGCTGTTTCTTGTCATTTACTTTGCCTAAGAGTCAAACTAGAAGTTCTTGTGATCTTGTAAGGTATACTTCAGAACACTTCATAAATGTACTGCAGGTTTTTATCTAATTCCTGCTAAACAAAAAAAATTAACTCGCTATGAATTGCTTTCAGAAAATATCAAGATGTTATGAATTGGGTAGGTTTTTTTCTGGCAAAAATGCTTATAATTTGCAGGTAACTATAAGATTTAGCTAGCAAAAATGATGATCGTTTGTCAGTATCTTTTGTAGTATAATTACTATTTAAATGCATTTTATTTTGAATTGAAACTGATATTTAATGTTTCTGTTGTCATTGAAGTACATTTAGTAATGAAGTGTACATTGTAAATGGAAGTCTTTGTATAAGGCTTAAAAATTTTACAGTTTTATGCTAATGCAAATACATGTGATTTTATCTTGAATACATAACCCTACTGTATATATAGTACAATGAATATAAAAGTCAACTTGGACTATTACAAAGTATTTTTGTATATGGTATTTTAAATTATTGTTACATGTTCTATAATGTGTGACATTAATTTAATTCTTTTGCAATGGATTTCTGTATTTTACATGACCTTGTAACTACCATGAAACCTTGAAGGTATACATACTATAACTGTGAAAGTACTTCATGTATCTTCACAAAATATGGCATGCTTTCAGTAAATATTACAAATCTGTTGTAGAGAAAAAATGAATTTTTAATTAAGGATTTTTACTAAAAATGTGTCTGTAAATATATGGAGTCAGAGTAATGACTGCTCTGAGTGCAAAGTGACTTTCATGCTATGATGTAAAATACTTTTCTTCATCTCAAAATTTTCAAATTTCAGTTGCATAGTCTCTAAAACTTCCTAATAAATATCAGGTAGTCTTTTTTTCAGAAAACTTTATATCTTATCTTTTATTTCATCTACCCCAACCCATTCAATCAGTTTGACCAACTTTGTAACCACCATAAAGAATTAGGAAATATATCTAAATTACCCTTTTTTTTCTTTCTAGAATGGCTGCAAATTGTAACAGGAAACCACAACTGTTTATTCTAAATAGCTTAAACCTCATAACAGTACACAATTAATTATACTTAATTTTATTGTTTTAGTGACATTTGAAACTAATAATTCTGCCACACAAGTTGTAAATCACTCAGCATTTTGTTGTTTATGGCTCTGTAAACAAATAAGATTGAAGGCTACAAAAAGTTTGCTTTGCCTGCATAATATTGATA